TACAAAATTTCCCACTCAGATCATCTTCGATCTTCATGTCCCGAAACAGCAACACGGGTTTTGTTTCGACTTTCAGGAAGCGTTTTCACCATCGTCATTGTCGGAGGATGGCAACGGGCTAGAAGCTTCGGCGAGGTATTCTAGCATGCTTATCACTTCAGCTGTGTCGTCTAAATAATATTTCGCTTTGCTCGGCTTCTGTCCAACAGTGCAGGCAAAAACCGACGTCGAAGGAGAAAGAATATTACTGGACAATGCATTACCAATTATTTCGAACATGTCCTCATCGGATCTGTCGTCGCCAATACACAACACAAAGTCAGCAAGTTTTCCTTCCTCCGCCATTGTTGAAAAAATCTTTTCAGCTACTAAGCCTTTGGTAACCCCCTGACGCAAATACAAGAAATCAGAAACGAGTTCGGTTATCGAATTCGAGCTCTATCAAGATTATAATTCATAAATGAACAATAACACGCCTGTGGTTTCACTTCGACGATGAATTGACCGCTTTTGACTGCAACGGGTTCGTTTGCCAAAACACTCTCTAAATGATCCAACATCTCCTTAGCCTGGGAAGATCCAAAACCAGGATCTGCATCTCTATACTGCCAGACCAAGGCACTTTCCTTTCTTTCAATAGATGAACCATCTGTAGCCTCCGTATATAAGTTCATAACAGGTTCAGCAATCTGCATCCACCCGAAATCAGAACTTTGGCCGCAGATCTTCCACTCCACGTCCTGTGACTGCCTGCTCGTTTCAAACAGATTTGATATTAGAATTAGAATAAAAGAAACGAGTTTCAGTGAATACGACCAAAAAACAAAAACTTTGCAGTCATGGTTCAGCATATCTTATAAACTAGCCTCGACTATGGCAAGACGAGTTCCAGTGTAGTATTCAGAGGTTAAAATTTCTCAACCATTGTTACCCTTTATACAAATCCATACAGTGAGTTGATGTGAAACAAGAATTTATGCTTTAGAACATTCTCATAAAACAACATGAGAGAGATCAAAGAAGCGAACCTCAAAAGATATCCATGTTCTGCTGCAATTCCAAGCTTCTTGCAAGGGCGAAACCACTTGCTTAAGCTGTCCCTCCCACGTCCACTCACAATGAAGACTACATTTTTTGAATCTGCACAAAGCGTGTTAAGGATAGAGATAACCTGCTGACTCGGCGACTTATTTATGGAGTTTTGAGGCATCACGGTGCCATCGTAGTCCAAAAGAATGGCCCGACTTTCGGCCTTACTGTAAGCTGATAAAATGGAATCTACTGAAAGTTTTCTGAAATTGGGATCAAGAGCTACAACCCTGAAACCGAAACTAAAACCAATTCCCCAACATCGTCTCCTGAAATGATCTGAGCAAGTTCTCTCCATATCTTGCAAGAAACTACGAGACCAATAAGCGACATCGTGAGTAGCAACATAACGGTAATGCTTCTCATGTCGCAACTGCTTCTCCGTATCCGCCATTGAGATTGCTTCATTCAAAGCCTCTGCTGTCCGTTCGACATTCCATGGGTTGATACGAAATGCTCCACTTAGTGATGGAGAACATCCAATAAACTCGGATATGACAAGCATGCTCTTTTTCGGTCCGTGGAAGTTCGAACTTTCTTGGGAGGATATTCCCTGTCTGCAGACAACGTACTCATACGGAGTTAAGTTCATCCCATCTCGAACAGCAGTGACAACTACGCACTCCGCAATGCTATAATAAGCAACCCTTTCCGTAATTGGCACATGCCTATCCAGAAGTACTATCGGCTCATAGCCAGAATCCCCATATTCCTTGTTAATCCTTCTGCAACTTTCTTTTATTTCATCTTCTATTTCTTCCAAATCCCTTCCCTTGCCTCTGGCAGGATTTACAATTTGGACCAGTACGGCCTTCCCCTGCCACTTTGGATGTTGCTCAAGCACCTGTTCCATAGCTAACAATTTCAGGTTGATTCCTTTGAAAATGTCCATATCATCGACACCTAGCAACACCGTCTTCCCCGCAAATTGCTGCGTGAGTTCCCTAGTCTTAACATCCTTGTCTGCCAGTCTCATCACCGACTCAATCCGAGTCATATGAATACCAACAGGCATTATCTTTATCCCGATCGTCCTCCCGTAGTATTCCAATCCAAGATAGCCCCTCTTCGACTGATACTCCAAACCCAACATTCGGCTGCAACACGAAAGGAAATGACGAGCGTAATCGAAAGTGTGAAATCCAATGATATCAGAGTTAAGTAATGCCTTGAGAATCTCTTCTCTAACAGGAAGGGTACGGTAGATCTCAGATGAAGGAAATGGACTATGAAGGAAAAATCCCATCTTAACTCTGTTAAAACGCCTCCTCAAGAACGTGGGCATTACCATCAAATGGTAATCATGGATCCAAATATAGTCATCATCTGGGTTGATCACCTCAACCACTTTCTGGAAGAACAGCTTATTTGCTGATACATAAGCTTCCCACATCGAGCGATCGAATCGACCCTTCTGATCAGCAGAATATGGCAACATATAATGAAAAAGAGGCCACAAATGCCTCTTGCAGAACCCATCATAGAACTTTTCCAAAACATGAGGAGGCAAAAACGTAGGAATACACTTAAATTTCTCCAACAAAACCTGGGAGACCTCATCTTGTTCGTCTGGTTGGATATCCACTTTCAAAGAACCAACATAAAGAATCTCCATATCCTCTGGCAAACCACTTTTAAGCTGCAAAAGCAATGAATCTTCGTTCCAATTGAAACTCCAGGAATTGTCATTTTCCCTTCGTTTTGCTCTTAATGGAAGCTGGTTTGCTACAATTATCATCCGATCTGAGGAAATTGATGATGGATTTTCGGATGTCACGCTGTAGGCCTGATCGTCGTCAAGCTCGCCTACATCGCCTGGAACAGTCATGATCCGTGGAAACCGCTTCCGTTTCACTTCCATTGCTGGAAAATTTCCAGACGCTAAATCTAAAAGATTCGTGTACGATCTCGAAATCATGTTTTTCCGCTAGATGAACAAACTAACAAGCGCAGCGCCTAACAATTCCGTAACACGAAACAAAACAATCAAAACCCTAACGTTCGGAAACGCGATGAAGTTACGAACAAGAACATATTAATGAACTAGAAGATTATCGCCCAATCAAGTAATTAATAATCAAAATTTAACAGAAAAAAACGGATTCCAATCCAATGCACATTAATCTTCCCCGTTATTCTAATCCTACCTAGTCCAAAACCTCAAAGATTCTCTTTCAACCAAGCAGAATCCAACAGCAACCAATGCTCTCCATTTCCAGAATTACGAAATTAGATCCGTTCTTTAATCGAAAGCGACACAGTACAGCATTGAAAGAAAGATCAAATATATAAATCTAAACCAATGAATTTCGACGCGTACCCGATATATCTGAGCATCGACCAGATCCCGAACGGCGGCAACAACAAGAAGAAGAACAATGAACCAAATCCTGAAAACGAAAAATGCTGCAAAATTCGTATCACTTCCGAACGCAATAATTGGTTTACATTCCAAAATTTGAAGCTGACCTCCCTCTAAGCTAAACGATAATTTCGATCCTTTTTTTTGGTGAAAATGGATTGCGAAAGGCTTAAATATTACTTCGGACCTTCTCAAACGTCTTACAATGCAGTATGATACAGGAGCAAAATGTGGCGTTCGTTGGATTCACGACGCAATATAAATCCTTTTCTACTGAAAGCAAACTTCAAAATTAAATAAATCAACGTTTATTCGATAACTTTCAATGAAAAATTAATGTATGAATTATTTAAACGAAAGAATTTAAAATTTTATTTGGCATAAAACCAAAAATGTATACTTAAATAAAGAAATTAGCAAGGAGGTTTGATAAGTTTACCATGGGGTGATAAAACTGACCAATGAGAGCGAGAAGCACGTGCATGGTGGGCAAAAGCTACCGCATGTTAAATTCACAGCCAATAACGTTAAAATATGGCATCCATTAAAGAAATTGGAATTGGATAAGATTCAGCCAGCTGGAGTCTGAATCAGCAGAAGCTGGCATAGTTCCCTTTTAATTTATATTCCAAAGTAGGGAGTAAATTTATTTTTACGTAAAAAAAAGTTATCTCCATGATGATATTTCCAGTGTAATTTTCCTTAATTGCGACATTTACTTCCGGTAATTCTTTCCTTCTGTTTTTTTTTTCTTTTCTTTTTTCTAATTTAATTTGCTCTCGTGCCTAATGATAAACGAGACCACTGACGGATGATTACTAATAGGATTGAGTCCCCTAAAATAAATTTCTCTAGATCATTGATAACGTGTAGGGTTAGTCAAATGGTGACCGGTCCCCTAAGAGACCGAAGGATTGAGTCCCGGACCAAATTTTCTTTCTCAACCAAACGATGACCAATTTTTAAAAATTATGTTTAATAAAAATAGAAATTATGTATTTAAAAATTTATTTCAAATAAATATATATATAGGGAGAGAGAAATCACCAAAAATAAATTAATAATTTTAAGGAGATGAGTTTAAAAAATAAAGGAGGTGTGTTCAAATATGTTTAATATTACACACACATATATATTAATGAAAACTATATTAAAAATAGAATTTATCTATTCAAAAAATTATTTCAAATAAGTATATTTTAAATGTAAAATGATCAGGAGAAAAATCACCAAAAAATAAATTAATAATTTAAAAATAAAAGAAATGGGACGGACAGTCCCACTATAATCAACTCATCTCCTTCATTGGGCCTAGCAGAATAAACCGGGCCCAATAAGGCTGGTGAGAAGAACATAATATTTGGGCCTAAAAATTGTAGGGCTTTACCCCGAAGGGAGCCCTTCCAGAAATTCTCGAAGGCCTGGGCCAAACCCAGGCCTAAGAGGGGGTTTGGAAATAGTTTTCAACCAGCAATTGACGCGCCTCGGTTAGAACCTCACTAGCTGCGTCATTGCCCCAAGCGCAAAGATGAGAATAAAACGATATTTTCTCCCTTTTTATAGCAGCCCACCCAACTTCGCTTCAACTCCTTTCCGATGTGGGAATGCTTAGCTGCACGCTAAGCCACTTTCCACGCTTCAAAGCGAGTCAAAATTAATCAACCATCGTGAAATTTCAAATCGCGAAACAAAATCTGGTTGAAATTCATACTTTCTTGCCTGTTCTTGATGTACAGTACAAAATTCAAATTCACTGTTCTATGCCTATGACCCTTTACTTTTCCATAGCTCCGGTGCAAAGGCCTCCTCCACTAAGACGAAGATATTAGTTTACCNTTTTTTTTTTTTTTTTTTTTTTTTTTTTGTATATATATATATATACGCATCCGCTTAAGCTCTTCTTCTTCTGGGAATTCTGATTTTTCTTCGACTTAGACGAAGAGTATTATGGCGGGTTATAAAGGTCACGATGAATATGATTATCTGTTTAAGCTGGTTTTGATCGGTGATTCAGGGGTGGGAAAATCAAACCTGCTCTCGAGGTTTACGAAGAACCAATTTAATTTAGAATCGAAGTCGACGATTGGGGTTGAGTTTGCTACCAAGAATTTGGAGATCGATGGGAAGGTAATCAAGGCTCAGATTTGGGATACTGCTGGACAAGAAAGGTTTGATTCTTCGTTGTTCATCTATAATTTCGATATCTCTTGAAATTCCGATTATAGTTGCATGGTTCCTTTGTTTCTAATCAATCGCTTCTCTGCTGCTCAAGAACTATGTCAGGATATCATTAGATTTACTCGAAATTTGTTGGAGGATTCTCTTTACACGGCCTTCTGCCTTTAATTTGTGTTTGAAGAAAGGGCGAGGGCGTTGCTTTGATTCTGATAAAGTTAGAATGCGTTCAACCAAGTAGCACTGATTGAAAATTATTCTTATCAGATTGAAAATTATACTTGGAAATCTGGTGGTTTAAAATGTTTAGTTTATTTTTTCAATGGCTTTCTAATTGCTGTTGAAGAATGAAATTTCTATTGGGAATCATTGTGTTTATGGTTTTGTTAGAAACTTGTTCAACTTTTTTTTTTTTTTTTTTTTTTTTTTTTTTTTTTTTTTTTTTTTTTTTTTTTTTTTTTTTTTTTT